TTCGTCTACTGAATCCTCCGAAGATGTCTTGGATTTATATAAGAGAACTAGTTCTGAAATAGAGAAAATTAGAGCATCTGGACATGCTCTTATTCTCTGTTCTCGCAATTCTTGCTTGAAGCCAGAAAGCAGGTAATCACTATATATTAAATACATGTATTCAGAAAAGTATTTACTTTTTTCTTTTTTCAAGCTTGCAAGAAAAAAGTGTAATTATTCAACCTTATTTGGTCCTAGAGAAATCTTTTCATATCGATTAAGCAAAATATTGTATTATCCTATAATTTCCAAATTCGATTGAATGCTAGAAAATAGGGCTTTTTCAAGCTCTTTTACATGAATTCCCATATCCTTACCCAAAGGCACTAAAGCATAATTTATGCAGTTTATATACTTTTTTTTAAGTCTTCACTAATCAGGCTAGAGGAATCAGTAGATACTTAGTTCTGCTCCTCTTTTGATGGTTCTTTAGCTACTAGGGCCTTGCTATATGTTGGAATAATATAAGTCTTCCTATATAACTTTATGCAGAACTGGTTTTTATTTGGCTCGAAAACACCTTGGAGCTTTTGAATATTAGACATACCTAAAATTAGCATTGGTTTAGGTTTGCCATTATCTATATGTACAAAATTTCTAATGACCGTAACTGTCTTTCCCTCTTTGTCCTTCATAGTAACTGGCACATCTGTGTACCATTCTAACGAATCGGTAATATGTTTGGAATTGCCCTTTATAGCAAAATCGGATGGCTCATCAATCTTTCATCCAAGTGTGTGAATTGCTGGATCATTTAAAACACCGAATTCACTTCCAGTATCTAAAAAAGAATCAGAAATCGATAGATCATTTATATTACAATGGAAGTACTGTAAAGATGAAAACCACTCATCTGATTTTTTTGACTCCTTCTCCAGAGCCTTTCAGGACAAGCACATTTTTTGTATCGATGGTGAAAGCTTAGACAATAGCTGATTATATGTTTCAGGCTTGTTATTTTCTATTGATACCTGTTTTTTTTTTCCAGTGGACCATACCTGGTCCACCTATTATTTTCTTCATCATAACCTTCTTCCTCATTATCTGAATCTGGGGGTGTGTTTTGGAAATTTATAGGTGTAAGAGGCTTAAAATAAGCAGACCGATTGAAATTAGATCGTGCTATCTGTCTATTAGGGCAACTATCTTTACTATAGCCTGTCTCTCCACAAATAACACATTTACATATGTATACTTTTTGAAATTGATTAGTTAATTGATTTACCGCATCTCTATCTTCATTGATTGCTTTTTCTATTCTATCAATCCTAGCAGAAATTTCATTTCATTGAGGGCGAGGTCTTTGAAAGGGTTTTACAGAATAAGCCGAGTCTAAATCATTTTTATTTAATAAACTTAATTCTTTTAAGTATTCGGCTACATAATAATTTTTGAAACCTTCTTCTGATTGCAAAGATGATGAGGGACCTCTCGGTTGTCTAACTGGTTCTACTATTTGTGGAGCAGGTGCTTGTGACATTTGTGATTGGTAATCAGCTTTTTGCTTTTCTAATAAAGACTGGTATTCAGTTTTTTGCTGTGCTAGTGCATTTTGGATTGCTTTTTGCATATCTTCTAAAGAAATTCCTTGCTGTTGAGAAGCTGAAATGGGTAAAGATTCATATATTTCTCAAGATGCTTACTGAGAAACTAATAGATTGGGTATTTTATCTTTTTTATGTCTAGCTATTTGGCGTAATTCTATCTCATAAAGTTTTTTAGCTAATTCATCCAATAGCAAATGTTCATTGATATCTTCAGCTTTTTTAAGCCATGGAAGTGAAAGAGCATCTAAGAACTTTCTACGTAATTCTTCAGATCTATAGTTGGCTCATCTACTTATTCGTAATATTTTTCTATATAATTCATTTATAGTCATGTTCCCCTTTCCGATTGTTCCATACATCATATTCTGAAGCTTCTCTTCTACTGTAGGAAAATGAGTTTTTAACCACCATATGGCTTGATCAAAACGAATTCCAGGTACAACTACGGTATTACCAACATTAGCATTGGGAGCATTTGGAGCATTATTAGTAGGTCGGCCTCCCGCTATATGTCAGTCTTCATCCCAGAACCTTCTATGGCTCTTAACTTAACTATTGCATTTCCTGGCTGATTAAGGGCCTCGTTTATTCTATTAGCTTCTATCTGAATAGCTGTATATCCATTTACAGCTACTATGTTAGCTTGCCCCGTATTATCAAGTAAGTTTGCTAATTCCCAATTTTGTTTGTAGTAATTTCTTCATCGAACTATTCTAAAGTTCTTTCTCTCATACAGCCTCTTAAATATCCTATAGCTACTTCTCTTCCTGTTGGTGGATCTCCTGCATTATCTGCTAGATTTACACCTTGGTTTTGCAAGTATAATCTTAGCTTCACAAGAAAATCTGGGATATCGTCACTCCAGTCAAAAAATGGTTGTGGTATTCCTGCCATATTTCTTCGATTTTGTTGATTATTATATAGCGCCAAAATTTGTTGATTTAAAATTAAAATATTCTGGTGAGAATTAATTTCACGAGTCTTCCATTTTTGATACCGATTAAATACCCAGGCACGATTGAATTCTGCCAAGTCAACCTTAGCTTTGCACCTTCGATATATTAGCTGAAGGGCTAGCTTTTCTCCTAGCAATTTACCGATATGGGTTTGCTTTCTTGCTATATTATTTATCATTCTGTTTACTTGATTCTGAGCATTGGTCCGTAACTGATCACGCTCCTGCACTGCTTGATCATGCTCCTGCCTATATATATCATAGTTCCATTGTTCATTCACCAGTTTTTGTTGCAGGTTAGTGTATTTACATCGAATTGATCTTGTTGATCTTTTAATTTGATTTGTTAAAATGGTTCTACATATTGTTGTATCATTTAGGGATCAGTCTATTGCATCAGCCAACTCGGCTATTGTGGCCATATTATCATCAGAATTATACAAGTCTAGAGAATTTTCATCAGAATCGGATTCATTTTCACCAAAATTCCATGCCTGTATATTTTGTAAAGCCTCTTGTATATTTCTAAGTTCTAATCTATCTCGATATCTTAATAATGCTAATGCAAAATTTTGACAAAGCAGGTCTGTAATACAGTTTTTTTGTTGGGTTATTTTGTTAATCCTATTTATTTGATTGGTCCTTATTGTATTTATTTCTTATTTAAGCCATTCATTCTCATCCACTAATCTGGTTGTATAATCTTGTGCTTTGGGGGTATTACCTGCAGATTTGGATATCTTCCGTATTCGATTTTTTAATTTTGTCTCTCATTCATCGAATTCTATTATTAACTCTTTCTTATTTGAAATTTCTTTATCTTTCTTTTTATTTTCTTTCTCAAGCAAGTGAATAATTTTTTTTAGTTTTGAAATCTCTTCCTTTAACTCCTTTTTCTCTTCTATAGAAGCTTCGATAGTGTTATTTAACTCTTATTCAAGAAACTGTATTCTTTCCTCCCGTATGCTGATAATTCTTTCTAAGGTATATAGATGCTGTTCGAAATTTCTATTTGATTCTGCTAATTGTGATACTACCTCATGGAGTTCTTGATTACTTTGCTGTAATTCCTCCATATTTTTTTACTATAGTATAATGGAAAAACCTTTGATTTATATCGATCCACAAAAAGCATATGAACTGGATCGAGAAATCACTAAGAGAAAAAAAGTTAAAGATTTTTCTGGAACTGGTGGTCTCAGAAATTTGTTATTACCAAAACCTATGATTATTATTGATTCTCAAAAAGCATGTGATCTTGATCGAGATCTCACTTTACAGGAGCTTTATTATCGGCCTAAGGGTCTTTATCAAAATGTTGACGGATTGTGGAACGCTTGTAAAAAAGCTGACTATAAATTTCTATTTAACAATGTAAAAAAATAGCTTGATGGCCAAGCAATGTATCAAATTTTTCATTCTCCACCAAAGAATATACCTTATGCCAGTTACTCTAAAATTACAAAACCGAATTCTGTACACCAGTGTGATTTAATTGAAATACCATATGATGAAGATGTAGATACGGGTTTGTTCGATAATGGCCCAATATTTTACTATGTACTATTGGTTATAGACTGCATGACTAGATATAAAGATTTCATTTTTTTAATATCAAAAAGTAGTGAAGAAGTCATGGAAGCATTTAAAAGTATATATGATAACTCTGACAACCCTCTTAACTGGCCTCGGCTATTGCAATCTGATCAAGGTTGTGAGCTTATAGGAAATGTGACATTGATAATAGATGAACATAATATTAATATCTGAAGAATTAAAGTACGTTTTAGATATACAAGCATGGCTATGGTTGATCATTATGCCAGATTATTCGAATTAAGAGTTTTTAAAAGCCAGTATGTGATAGAGTTTCTCTTACCTATCGGCAAATGCTATAGAGAATGTGAACGATTTGCAAGAAGAATTGCTAATAACATGAATGATACTACTACTCGGTTAATTGGAATGAGTCCCAATGAGGCCACAAAACTTGAGTGGGTGTATTCCAAACCATTAATAAAATATAATCACCCGATAGGTGTTGATAAACCATGACTATCAAAGGGTACTACTATCCGATTTTTGCTTGCTCCTGAAGAATGGGAAAATGATCCTTTCAAACAATATAGAATAACAGATCCAATATGGTCTCCCAGCCTACATAAAATCTGAAGAATTGTTGTTGGAAAAAATCCTCCCATGCCCATTTTATATTATTTAGATAAATCGGGACCTCAGCATTCCTTTATAAGAGAACAATTAATGCATATTAAGAAAGAGCCTATGTTGCCTCCTAGGTGAATATTGAGAGATAACCAAATGTATATAAGGTGCTCTTTATAAATGTTTTTAAGTCTATTACGCAGTAGGGTATAGTAATGAGAATCACTCCTTCCTTGTAGCATAATGCCCTCTTTTCCCAATCATGACAAATTTGTGCATCTAGATTCATCTGCCCTTGCAGATGAAAAAAAGGCACAATTTGATAATGCTGATTACCACTATATTCAAAGGCCAAGTCTAGCTCCTCATTATACCCATCTAGATGTAATCCTTTTAAGAATTTAGGTTTTTAAAAAGGAAATTTTTTATGTAATAAATCCTCAAATATATATCAGCATGTTCTTTCTGGTACATTAGAGCAAATATTACACTATTGGTAATTCTGTTTCATATTTTTATATGATGCCTCCCATTGATGTTTTTTCTTACATGCCCATAAATATGTATTAGGACTAACTTTAGCTAAGCATCTTCCTTCACGCTTTTGGGTATATGCCAAAGCTTTAGTATCAATTCTGTCTTGCATTTTATAGGTACAATAGAATATCATATACAGAAATTTGCGAAATAGGCTGTTTTTTTCGCAAGCTCAAAAAAACATATTTTTAAAATTGCTCTTCTCCAAATTATTTTTTTCGAATGAAATGAGAAAAAAAGGAAAAAATGCCAAATTTAACTCAGCTACTACTCTCAATGATCCTCTGCTCAAGTATACATCTTTTATTTTTTCCAACTCCGATATATAGAGGCTGGTCATAAGACTAAAAATAAAATTGAAGTTAGCCAGTATTATTGCATGAGAAAAAAAAAATAAATAATACGTATTATAAGTTTTCTAACAGAAGTGTGGAAATTTTAGCTAAGAGTACTTATCTATATAATTCGATGGTTTTGTCTATATCTGCTTCAGACGAATCATCAAAATACCTAGAATGTTTATTGTAAAGTTTTTATATATTTTTTAAGCTATTTTTTTGCCTCGTTCTGGGAATAGACATCAATCTGCTTCTCTTTTTCATCTGAATCTTTAAGTTGTGTGATTTTATGTGAAGAAGATAGTTGATATTTTTCATCCTTATTGATAAAGCGTGCACACATTCCAACTGTCTTTTCTAAGTAATAGTTGATATCTATTTCCATATTTTGTTCTTTTGCAATATCAAAAACTTCATATAGTCAGCATTTCTATATGGTATTAACTGACCATTTTCATCACGATACCATTCACCTTTCACAACCATATAACTAAAGTGCTCACCTGAATCAGTAATCTTGTTTTCATAATTTTCTTTCATCTGTTCCATAAAGTGCTTAATACATTTATTATCTTTATTAGGCTTTCATGTAGCTATCGCAACAAATTGGTTAAAATCCCATTGCTTTCCACTAGCTTTTCTAATAGTATCTTTGACGATTTGATGGATTGTGCATGTATTATCAATATTTATTGCCTCCCTTATGATTTTCTCTACAACAAATCTGAAAAGCTCTGTTTAACCTTGCTTTACAGTATCAATACCTTTAGTAAATAGCTTTTTTGGCTTGAAATTTACTATTTCCTCATGTGCAACTCCGAAGTATTTCTTTTTACTGATAAAACATACAGGGAACAATACTTCCTCATACGCCATCTTTAGATAAGAGGTACCATTTTTTATTCTAAGATAAGCATTTACTTTGTTATGAAATTCATTCATCACCTTCATAGTAATTTTTACCATTTCACTCCAATATGCCTCTTTGGAAAGCTTGTTTTCATTATAATCTCTATCACATTTTTCGTAATACTTATCTGGGCAGGTAAGATATAAAGAGTCAGTGTTACCATACTTGATTCCAAAGCCTTTCGCTATAACGAATCTAGCAACAAGACCAATATTGTATTGTTCTGCTGAAGTAATTCCTCTAGCTAATTCATGAAGAAAGAATAGAGAGTTACTATTACCCGCCTCGCCATAAAATGTATTCATATACACCTTCAGAGCAAATTTTTTTGAGTTTAAGCAATTATAATCAAAGCATAGAGAATCATGTTTTGATTTTAAAGCATTTGGTACAATTTTACCCTTCTCTTCTATGGTGCTTATAAGCTTTTCAAGATGCTCCTTCTCTTTTCGTAGTATGGCAAACTTTGATTTAAGGTTTACTCGTTTATTAAACAGATCCTCTAGAACAGTAGAATATAATCCTTTTTTCTCAGAACAATTGCCATGATGGATGGCCCAGGCATAAAGAATATGCCTATTAAATGGAAATTTAATCTCATATAATTCAATTCCTCTTCCATGTATATTATTAGCCTCTTCATGGCTCAATATTAATTTTTCAGGTGAAAGATTGTAAGCCATGATAAGGCTGGGATATAATGAGGCGAAATTGAGACCTGTAACAGGATGCTTATTCTCAATACCTTTTATTGAGAGAAAAACATATGCTCCTGGATACTTACCCTTTTCTTTATCTTTGTGACAAATTGTACTAAATAACATATTGTGTTTGGTGGCATAAGTGCCCAGAAGATTTCTTACCTTCATTCCATTTGCACGATAATGTGTATCAAATAAAGATACATAAGCTATAGAGGCAACTTCTCTATAATCATTAATTACATTGCATTTGACTGCGAGTTCTTGGCAATGCAACGCATCTATAATACAATAGTTTGCTACCTCATACATATTTCTAGCAGTTATATCAGAAGAGAGTTTTTTTGTTTTAGAATAGTAGTTCCATAATCTGTTAAAAGGCATATCGGCCTTACTCTCGAGCCCACATAATTTTAAGTAAAACTTCAGCGAACTTTCCTTTTCTATTTCTGAGTGAAGGTAAAGTTTCTTAAAACATGCATAGACATCGATTGGTACACATTCAGGTATTTTAAGAAAGAAAGATTTAA